AGGACACGAGGGTTCCCTTGACTTGGCAAGGTCGACCTACAAATCCGGGCCGACTGTACGAGCCTTACCTTTCACTGCGCGAGGCGATACCGTGAACGACGAACGGCCCATGGGCCAGCAACTCAGGTTCCCCTCCTCCTCCTCTCCCTCCTCCTCCTCTCCCTCCTCCTCCTCCTCCACCTCCTCCTCCTCCTCCTCCCCCTCCTCCTCCTCCTCCTCTCCTCCTCTCTTCTTTTTTCCTCCTCTTCTTCTTCCTCCTCTCCTCTCCTCCTCCTCCTCCTCCTCCTCCTCCTCCCTCCTCCTCCTCCTCCCCCTCCCCCCCTCCCCTCCTCCTCCTCCTCCTCCTCCCTCCTCCTCCTCCTCCTCCTCCTCCTCCTCCTCCTCCTCCTCCTCCTCCTCCTCCTCCTCCTCCTCTCCCGTGGGATGTCCTTGTTCAATGAGCATGGCCTCCATCCTTCGAGCCATCAGGCACGCGACAACTCCGACCTCCTAAAGATCATGCGAGGGCCCCGTTGCCAACGCCGCTCTGGAAAACTGACTGCCCCGCATCCGCGCAGCTGCTGGACAGTTGTAGACCCCCGGCCGTAAGCCCTCAGGAAACCTCAAGCCAGATGCAACTGACACAACAGAACCGCCTTCCACCTACGACGTAAGCTGCGCGGGGCACTATGTGAAGTACAGGCTATGTGGTGTAAGCTGTGCGGTGGAACGCGGAACGTGAAGTCCAGCCTGGCCGCTCCCGAGGCAGGGCTGCCCCTCGAAACACACCCTAGTCCGAGTCGCCTTCTCCACAGCCGACTGGCGAAAGCAAGTGCGCATCATCGTCTTCTTCCCTACGGGAGTTCACGACTCGGCGAAGCCCTTGCACTTCGCCGAGGGAAACACGCGGTGGCATTGGCTGCATCTGCACTTGGTAAGGTGGCTTGTTCAACGCTCTCCCGCGCTGAGCAACCGGTGCGAAACGGATCTCAGCCGCATTGTAGTGCTGCGGTGTGGTCTTATGCTGGCTGAAGCGAGGATGCTTGCACGCAAGAAGCCAACGAAATGCGAACACAGCGCGTGATTGCACTGTGCATGTGAGAGCTATGCGGTGGATGCTGTGTGGTGAAGGCTATGTCGTGCAAGTCGGAGCGAGCCGATGAGGTGGAATCAGTGTGTGCGGTGTAAGCCACGTGGGACAAGATACGCAGTTGAAGCCTGGCGGTGCGAACTGGAGGTGGAAGCCATGTGGTGCAAGCCATGTGGTGAACGCGCTGCAGTGGAAGCTATACCGAAGCCAGCTGTGCCGTGCAAGCGATGTGTCGCAAGCCGTGTGGTGTGAGCTAGGGCGTGCCAGCTCGGATCGCGGGGCGCCTAAGAGGCGCTCCCGAGGCGCCCACGAGGCGGCAACGTGGCGCAACCTCGGCACACCCCCCGGAGGAGGAGGAGGAGGAGGAGGAGGAGGAGGAGGAGGAGGAGGAGGAGGAGGAGGAGGAGGAGGAGGAGGAGAAGGATGAGGAGGAGGAGGAGGAGGGGGGGAGGAGGGGGAGGAGGAGGAGAGGAGGAGGAGGAGGAGGAGGAGGAGGAGGAGGAGGAGGAGGAGGAGGAGGAGGAGGAGGAGGCGGAGGAGCCACCAGAACGCGGGGCGCCCACGCGGCCCCGACGACGCGGTGTGGGGCAGCCACGTGGCGCAGCCTGACCTCCCCCGGGCGAACGCCGGCGCCCACGAGGCGCCCACGAGGCGCCCACGCGGCGGCAGCGTGGCGCAGCCTCGGCATGCCGCCCCCGACAGCGCGGGGCGCCCGCGAGGCGCCCACGAGGCGGCAAAACGTGGCGCAACCTCGGCATGCCGCCCCAGGCGCGGGGCGCCCATCTGGCGCCCACGAGGCGGCACGGGCCACAACGCGACGCAGTTACGGCCAGCATGCCAACACGTGCCCTGGGGAAAGGAAGGAAGTGAGTGAGCAAGCAGGTACGTAAAGTACAGTGAGTACGCAAGTGAGCAAGGATCCCCTGAGTGCAAGCAGTGCTTGGGGAGCAGTGGTCCTCGTCCTCCCCCTGCTCCCTCATGCTCCGTCCTCCTCCTCCTCCTCCTCCTCCTCCTCCTCCCTCCCCTGCTCCTCGCTCCCCTCGCCTCAGCCACAGCCGCGAGCAGGTGTGTCCACACCGCCTGCATACAGGCGGGTGACGCTAATTCTTCCTCTAACCTTGTGTGCAACCAGGTTTCCCCCAGAAACGCGGTCATGAGCGCCGCGCCCGAGACTACGGCACTGCTCGACCGAAGGACGAGACATCTCCAGCTCGAATTATCTCTGCGGCCACAAAAGCCTGAACGAGTGAGAAGCACACCATGGTGCGTTGAAGCGCTCCTTTTCGCGAGGCCCGCACAAACTCGGGATCCCGATGACCTCACACACTTCTCCCCGCTCGAATGCGCGGGAGCGCCCGTGGAAGGAAGAAGAGAAATGAGGGTGGGTTGGAGAGAGGGTGCGTCGGGGAAGAGCACGTGTAAAACCACGGAAAGGGGGAAAGGGAGATCGGAGAAGCTAGGGGGGAGGCAGCGGAGGAAACATGATGCAGGAGGGGGACTGGCGAAGGGGTGGGAAAAGGAGGGAAGGGAAGAGGGAGGGACAACGAGGGGGGCGGGGGGGGGAGGGGGCGAACACACAGGAACGGGGAAGAAGAATGAGAAGAAGAAGGAGGAACATGAGAAGGAGAGGGAACACGCGGACGGATGGGGGGAGGCCAGGAGGAGAGGGACGGGATGGGGAGGGAGGCCAGGGAGGGGAGGGACGGGCGGGGAGGGAGGGTGCCGGGAGCCCCGGGGGCCCACGCGCTGCGAGGCCCATCCGCCGGAGGCTGGGGGCAGGCGACCGCCGGCGTGACCACGCAGGCCAGGGAGGCGGGGCCCGCAGACGCCGATGGGGCCAGACAGTCGGCGGCAGGCCAACGCACGGGGCAGAACGGGCAAGGCTGCGAGGGCTTCGCGCCCCCGGCTGAATATTTGACTGCGCGCACGAGGGAGAGAGAGAGAGAGAGAGAGAGAGAGAGAACTAAAAAAAAAAAAGAGAGAATGGCACGACGCCTCGAGGTCCCAGGAGGTCTGCAGGGGTCCCCGGAGGTCCCTGGAGGTGCTTGGAGGCCCAGCAGGGCTAGTCATCCTGCTTCGAGCGGTCCCCTCCTGGGAGATGCTGCCAGTGCGTTCGAACTCCGACTCCGTCTGATTGCCAGAGGGCTTGCTTGCACCTGTAGAAAGTGTTCGAGCTCCGTCTTGCTTTTCTCTGCGGTGCGATCTGTGCCGCACATGTTGTGTCTGGTCGTCACGTGTGTTCTGGGTGCTTTAAAGCTGAGCAACTGGCATACGAACGCTGATCATAGATGGGGATGTGCATGTACATGTGTAGTTATAAGCGTGTGCTCATGTCGGCCCCTGTGCTGTTTCCGCATGCTACTTGTGTCACCCATGCATGTGCGTCATGTCTGGTGCTTCTATGCGATACGTCTGCTATGTCTTGGTCGCTCCTGCCTGCCGCCGGATCTCACGCCACTAGCCGAGTGCGCGACACGGGGTACCACGGGCTCTGGGGAGACGCCCTGGGCGGCTGGGACGTGCGGCTGCTCGGCGCAGGCTGAGCAGCCGCGGGCAGGCACGCCACTGCCCCCCCCCCCCCGCGCCCCTCCGGAGGGCCGGGCGGGGCCGTGCGCAGCGCGGCGTCCACGGAGCTGCTCCGCGGCGCCCAGAGGCGGCCCCCGCCTCCACTGCGGCGCAGGGGCGTGTACGCACTTGGGCCCCGCCGTGGCGCAGGCGGCACGAGGAAGGGCCTGCCGGGGTGGCTCTGGCTTTGAAGGCCCCGGGCCTCTGGGGGGAGGAGCCGTGCGACGCCCGGGGCCCCTTTGCGAAGGGTGCTCCTCGAGGCCTCTTGCCTTCCTCCCTACGCCTGCGCCCTGCTGCGGCTTGCGGCATTGGTGTGCGGGCTCCGCCGGCACGTGATTGCTGGCTTCCTGCCTCTGGGGGGCTTTCGCATGCGGTGCACCGAAGCCGCCAGTGCTGTCTGCCGAGACGGCTCGCGTAAGAGCTGCGGCTGGGAAAGGGGTGCCCCGTGTTGCCAAGGGTCCTGCTCGTCTTCGTCCTCTTCTCCGCGGGGTCGCCCAAATCTGCAGCAGAATTTCCGCTGGCGCGGAAGCGTGCCCCTTTCAAATCTTCTCAGCGTGGCACTGATATCCCTGACTTGCGGGCGTCTCCCCCCCCGCACTGACGGTGGCCCAGAGTGCGGTGGCCGCAGTCTCCTCCTCAGTTGCGAGCTGCCCTGCTGGGCCGTTGCACAGTTGCTTCCGCCTCGGAGTGGCCACGATGCTGCACTAAGGCGGTTCTCTCAAACCCATACGTGCCAACTAGGATGTCCGGGGAGGAGGAGGAGGAGGAGGAGGAGGAGGCGGAGGAGGAGGAGGAGGCGGAGGAGGAGGAGGAGGCGGAGGAGGAGGAGGCGGAGGAGGAGGAGGAGGAGGGAGGAGGAGGAGGAGGAGGGGAGGAGGAGGAGGAGGAGGAGGAGGAGGAGGCGGAGGAGGAGGAGGCGGAGGCGGAGGCGGAGGAGAGGAGGAGGAGGAGGAGGAGGAGGAGGAGGAGGAGGAGGAGGAGGAGGAGGAGGAATGAGGAGGAAGTAGGAGGGAGGAGGAGAAGGAGGAGGAGGAGGAGGAGGAGGAGGAGGAGGAGGAGGAGGAGGAGGAGGAGGACGGAGGAGGAGGGCGCCTAGGCCCTCAGGCAGCCTGTCACCATCAACTACACCTAGGGGTTATGGGGAGATCTAGGGCCCGGCGGCTGCGGTATGCGGGATTGCTTTCGTCACTCTTCGTCGAGGATGCAAGGCGGGATACCAAGGAATCTCGAGGCGCCTTGGGGCCTGGGGGGCGCGGCATGCAAGGCTGGCGGGCAGGCCGGGTGGCAAACAGCCCCAACCTGTCCAGTAGAGCAACGTCCGGAAACCTCGATCCTCAATCCTGGGGGGGCGATCGCGAGTGCGAGTCTAGCTGCCGCTGCCCACTCCCCCGCGATTGCCTCCGCGGACCTCCATCACTTTCTTCATGTTGCGCTCCATCGTTCTGGCCTGTGCAGCGGCAGCGCAGATGATCACGTATTGCCATTCCTCTTCCTCCCCACCTCCTGCATCATCGGCGTCCTTATTTGCCTCACTCCTACCTCCTCCCTCCTCCTCCCCCCGCCCCCTCTCTGGCATCCCTCCCAAGATCCTCCCTGCTACTTCGCCCCCTCCTCCCCTACTAATCCCTCCCACCTCCTTCCTCCTCCCCCCCGTTCGCCTCTTCCATCCTCATCCTCTTCCTTGCGTGTCTTCATCCTTCCTGCTCTCTCTTTTCTCCTACGCCCAATCTCACTCCTACTTCATCATTTCCTCATTTTCTTGTCACCCTCATCTCCCACCCTTATCTCCCCTCATGATCCGTCAGCCTTCCTCCTCATTCGTCCACGTGCTCCTCCGCCTCCTCCCCTCATCATTGTTTCCGCCTCTCCTCTTCCCTTGTCCTCATCCCTTGTCCTCGTCCTTCCTCTTCTGTCTCATCATCCGTTATCGGTTATCATTATCTCTCCTAGTCCTCTGGTCGGAAACTGTTGTTTAGCCCACCGCGGCAGCGGCCCCAATGACACGCTATGCCCTGCAAGCGGATAGCGTGTCGCTCCGCTCCGTGTGGCGGGGAGGATGGGCAAGGTTCGGGCCGTTGACGCTCAGGGGCTGAGAAGTGGTCAGCGCGTCGCGCCGAAAAGTGGTGGGCTTCCCTCTCCTCGCGTGCTCCCTCCCCCATCTCATTCCCCCTCTTGCCTCTCGAACGAGGTGCTGCGGTGGCATGGCACAGCTCATGGGTAGCTTGGGCACCCGCGAATGGAATCACGCCCCCTCCTCCCTGCCCTTTGTGTTCTGCTGCTTCTCCGCCCGCTGTCCTCCTCCCGCCTCCCTATGCCCCCTCTGGGAAAGGGGGGGCGAGAGGATTTGTTCTCACCTGGATGCCCATATGCATTCCAGCCGTTCGTGTATAAGACGCGTCTCCAGGCAAAGTCATGCGGTACAGGTTTAAGTGCCTCGTCTGGTTACAATACCGGCTTAATGAATCCTCTGGCCTGTACTCGCCGGACGACAAACGCAAGTGTACACAAAGTGCAGAGGATGGGGAGAGGAGTGAAGCAAGGCGGGGTGGGGTGAGGAGACGCGGTGCGCCGAAGCGTGCAGGGATGAGGGGGGCCTAAGGCCTCCCGAGCCGAGGCGCGGACGAGGGGTGGACAGGCGCCACCATGGAAGGATAGGATTTGCCACGAGCTCTGGGATGGGTCATGTCCCTGGCCATGACATTCGGAGGCCTCCTAGATGGGGTCGGAGTACATGGGGTCCGAGGATCGCACCGCATCGGCGATACATCGGCGATGCATCGGCGATGCACCTTCGATGCATCGGCGACGTCGGCAATACATCGGCGACGCCCACGTGAAGAAAATCGGGTTCCGCATCGAGTCGCATGGGCGATGCATCGGCGATGCGGCGCGATCCTCCGACCCCATCTACTCCGACCCCACCTAGGAGGCCTAAAGACATACTCCCCCCTTGTCCTCACCGCCCTCTCTGGCGCCCCCGAAAACAAATGCGAGCCCTACCCCTGCGGGCCTGTCCAAACCAGACCGGGATACCCGACGTCCCACGCAGAGTTCCCCGTGGCCGCAGGCACCCTTCAGATCGCGATTCTCCCCCACGGTGGCTTGGGCGGAGAAGAGGAAGGGGCAAGGCCCCCTGCCAGGAAGAGGGGAGGTCAGGAGGAGAGGACGGTGGGGAAGGAGGGGAAGGATTAGAGTGGGAGGGGGAACAGGAAAGCTCCAGGAGGCCCCACGAGGTCCCTGAAAAAAAAACCTGCCGCTGATAGATGAGGCCCAACTCCCCCAAACAGTCCAACATGCAGCTCCCCCGTCGAATGTGGCGATCGCAGCTGACTTTCTGCCGCGTGCGTGTGCAAAGTGAAACCTGGCACGCCCCCTGCTGCCACGAGCTGCGCCCGCCCGCGCGCCGGGGCTCCGCTTCCGGCCGCCGACCCGACTCCGCCCGCGCGGCTGCGCGCATGGCCACGACGCCAACAGGGTGCGTGACTGTGTGTCTGTGTGTCTGTGTGCGTGCGTGCGTGCATGCGTGTGTGTGTGTGGTGGGGTGGGGGGGCGGGGAGGGCGCGTCTTTCTTCTCTTGTCCTCGGGCTGCCCTGCACCTCGACACTGCGCGCGAAGCCGCGACGCAAAACAAAACACAGTGAAAGAGAGAAAGAGAGAGAGAGAGAGAGAGAAAACAAAAAAAATATAGATAAAGAGAGTGTGTGTGTGCGTGTGTGTGTGTGTGTGTGTGTGTGTGTGTGTGTGTGTGTGTGTGTGTGTGTGTGTGTGTGTGTGTGTGTGTGTGTGTGTGTGTGTGTGTGTGTGTGTGTGTGTGTGTGTGTGTGTGTGTGTGTGTGTGTGTGTGTGTGTGTGTGTGTGTGTGTGTGTGTGTGTGTGTGTGTGTGTGTGTGTGTGTGTGTGTGTGTGTGTGTGTGTGTGTGTGTGTGTGTGTGTGTGTGTGTGTGTGTGTGTGTGTGTGTGTGTGTGTGTGTGTGTGTGTGTGTGTGTGTGTGTGTGTGTGTGTGTGGTGTGTGTGTGTGTGTGTGTGTGTGTGTGTGTGTGTGTGTGTGTGTGTGTGTGTGTGTGTGTGTGTGTGTGTGTGTGTGTGTGTGTGTGTGTGTGTGTGTGTGTGTGTGTGTGTGTGTGTGTGTGTGTGTGTGTGTGTGTGTGTGTGTGTGTGTGTGTGTGTGTGTGTGTGTGTGTGTGTGTTTGTGTGCGTGTGTGTCTTCTTCTGAACGCGCCCCGGCAAGCTGCGCGCGCTGCAGCTCCGAGGCCACCACGCCACCGAGTCCCGCACCCGATGGGCCGCCCTCCACCACCAAGACGATGTCGCAGGCGAAGGCGGCGACGGCGAAGGCGGCGAATAGGCGCAGCTCCCCGCGGCGCCGCGCCGCCAGCTCCCCTAGGAGCTCTCGCCCCACGTGGACTTAGCCGAAACCTCACGCCGACTTGGCGGTGCCCCAGCGGGCCCCAACGCCGCCAGCATGCGCCGCACCTCCGCTGAGTGCCACGGCGTCACTCCGACCGACCGCTCGAGCACGTTCACCGCAAGCGCCTGGACGTCTTCGAGTGTCACCGCCGAGCCGCCTGCTCCGCCGGCAGCAGGCGCCGAGGGCGCCCCCACCAGCTCCGCCGCCGCCGACGCCGAGGCAGCCGCGGGCCCCCCGCCCACGCACGGCTGCCGCCGCCCCCGCCTCCTCCGCCGCCGGCGGGAAGCGAGGCCGTCCGCCCACTCGTCGCCCGGGTCGGACCCGAAGTCCGATGCTGCGATGCCTGGCACCGCCGGCGCCGCTCCAGCCGCCAGCACGGGTCCAATCTCGGGGCAGCCCCTAAAATCCGCGCGCACGGCCTCCGCCGCCGCAGGGGGCGCAAGCCGCCGAGGAAAGCACGACGGCGGGGGCCGAGTGGGCCCGCTCGTCGTCGAGCACCTTCGCCTCCATCGCGTCGGGCACCTCTGCCTCCGCCGCTCCCTGGGGCCCAGGGCCCCAGGCAGCAGCTCCAGCAGCAGACCCTGCGCCAGCCGCCGCGGGGCCAGCAACGGGTGGCGCCTCCGCGGCGCGCTGTGTTGCGAGGGCACGGCGGCAGCGCCGCCGCCGTTCCGCCTTCGCCGCAGAGGCGGCGGGCGACCCAGCAGGCAGCGCAGAAGCGGCGGGGGCCGCAGCGGCAGGCGCCGCCTCGGCCGTGGGCATCGACCCCTCTCCGCACGCGAAGAGCGTGGCGGAGATGGCCGAGCGCGCAACAGCCGCGACGGTGCGCCGCGGCGCCCCAGCAATCACCGCGGCCCCCACGGCGGCCTCCACCAAGGAGGCACCGTGGGCCGAGGGAGCCCCTCTAGGCCCCGACACCCCTTCACCCGCGCCTCGCCGAGCAGGCGGCGCGCGCAGGCGAGGCCATGCGACCGCTTGAACCAGCATTGACTGTGGAACAAAAAGAGTGTACGCGTGTGTTGCGTGTGTGCGTGTGCCGCTGAGCCCAAAGCGATCCGTGAGGGTCCAGCCGCGTCCGCGCTCAGCACCTCTACTCACTCCGCCTCGGCGCTGCGCGCGAGGCCGCTACCTGCCAAATATATATATATATAATATATATATATATATATATATATATATATTATATATGTGTGTGTGTGTTGTGTGTGTCTGTGAGTGTGCCGGTGCGTTCGTGTTGCGCGAGTGCGCGTGTGGGGGGGCGAGGCGTCCCGCTCGAAGCCTCCGCCCGGGGGCGTGCGCGGGGGGGGCGGGCGGCCAGCAGGCTGCTGAAGCGGAGCTCCAGCTCCGCGTCCGTCTCCAGGCACCTCCCCTCTCCGCCCTGCCGCGGGACGGAGGGAGCAAAGCCGGGCATCCCCGATAGGATCGTGTTCCGTGCGCGGCGCCCCGTCCCGACCCCTTCCCCAAGGAGTGGTTCCCCGTCCCGGATGCAAGCTTCAATGTCTCTGCCACGGGGCCCGCTGGCCGGTCCCAGGGAGCCGGCATTGGGGAAAAACGCCTGGAAGAAAACAGATCAGATCCTCGGAGATCTGGGAAGACTGCGTAACCATCACCTGTCGACAGTCCGCGTGGATCTTTCAGATCGGCGCTGGACCCCCCCATGGCGCGCTCCGCGCGCCAGGGGTCAGCGCCGTTCCAAGAAATCTGCGCAGAACTCCGAAAAGAGTATGTTTATGCAGCGTCGTCGGTGGTTTTCGTAATATTTGTATTATTATCCCTCTTCTTCTTCGAGGGGGAGGCGGAGGCGGAGGCCACCTGCTTCACCTGGCCCTGCTTCGTCGTGCTCTTCCCTCCTTCCTTCCGCTCGGCACATGTGGATAGCAGGGCCGATGTAGAGGGAAGGCTGAAGCGGAGGAAGAAGAGCATTAGGAGGCAGAGGAGACGAAGGGAGAAATATCGATCGTAGCTGAGGGGATGCAGCACCGTGCCTCGCCACGCTGGCACTGGCTAGCAGTCAGTGGTATCATATAGCTGTGTAGGCATGGCGCGGCGCGTGACGCGGGCATGGCAGACAAAACACGTCTGGCATTCTAAAACCTGGGCGAACAACGAGACGGCACGCGGCACGTGGTCACGGCACGGCATGGGGGTGGCACGGCACGGCACGCGGGTAAGGCACTGGCACGGCACATCCTTCGCAGTCTAGAAAGTAGGTGCGAGACGACATGGGAGGCACAAAGACATACTAGTACTATATGTCCTCCCTGGAGGCGCGCGTCCGACCCGAACCGATGGTGCACCCATCTTGCAGTAGATCGCGCCCCGCGCAGTGCGGCAAGGCTTCTTGGTGCGCGCGTCGCCCCTGAGAGGGGGCGACGCACACGTAGTACAAGGAGGTTCGGGTGACGCCGACGCCACGGCACCGCCTGCGAGCACGACACGGCACAGCACATGGTTCGAATCCTATAGTCATCATCGGCCTGACCTAAGGAACGATAAATAAGGAACGAAGCCCCTTTTTTATCCCAAGGAATAACGCGTAAGGAACGATAAATAATACATAACGCATAAGGAACTGTAAATAACGCATGTAAGCCTAAAGAACGACCGAGCCCCTTTTGAGAAGTAAGTGTTCCTTATTCAAGCCGCTCACTGTAGGGCCTGGGCACCGCACGAGCACGGCACCGCACGCACGGCACAGCGCTCTCGCTCGGGAGCGCTTACACGCAGCACGGCACGGCACGGCACGCCTTCGCACCCAACACCGGCTCTAAGCGCGGCAGGGCACGGCACGACACGGCACGCGGGAGCGCCCATTCCGGAAGAGGATCAACCAGGATGCTCCCCGCCTCGACTCCCAGGGCCTGGGCACCGCACGGCACGGCACTGCACGCACGGCACAGCGCTCTCGCTCGAGCGCCTGCACGCATCACGACGCGGCACGCGGGCACGGCACGGCACGGCACGGCACGGCACGACACGTTCACGCGGGAAGGCCCATCCCAGGAGAGGATCAACCAGGATGCCCCTCGCCGAGGAAGACATGCACGCGTCCGAACGATGCCGAAGGAACGGGGGCGGCTCGCATAAACCTACTTAAGCGCGGCAGGGCACGGCACGACGCGGCACGCGGGAGCGCCCATCCCAGAAGAGGATGAACCGGGATGCTCCTCGCCGAGAAAGACATGCACGCGCCCGAGCGATGCCGAAGGAACGGGGGCGGCTCGCAGAAACCTGCGCACGACAGCACATGGCACGGCACGAGGTCAGGGCACGGCGTCCTGGCGGCAGAGGTGTCGCATCTCGTGTCTTAGAAACTTGCTATCTTAATGCGCCTCGGACCGATTACAAGATTCGCTGCATGAGAAGCACATCGTGGGCCAACACCTACTGGGGCGGACCTGATTTGGGTGATCAATGCCGCAAGAAACAGGCACGGCAAGGAACGGCGCGGAATTGCATTTCCCGTTTGAAACCTTAGCCGCGCATGTTCATCCGAGCCGAATCCGGCAACCTTGGCTGAACGATGCCTGTGTCATCCACGCTCCCGCCAACCTCACTCGAAACTCGCCCTACGCAGGATCTGAAGCACGCTCGGCCACCTTGGAGATACTCGGGTGCAGCTTGAGAGCCGATGCCGAACCCGAAAGCGGACAGCGTTGCATTGCCCAAGACTGCCAGTTAAACGTAAATATGGAGAGCCTTGGACTGCGGCTATGTACCGTGGGCAAAACTACAAGACAGCTGCGAAGCGAAGGTAGCCCTAAGGTAGCCCGTAACGGCCTAGCACGGCCCAAGGCCACGCGTGCCCAAGGCCTAGACAAGCTGAAGCTATTTCTGAAACTGCAGAGAGAAGCATGAGCACTTGCTTTGACCCCTCCTGCATGCCCATTCCACGGGTAGCACGATCTCGCCTCCTTCACCCCCCTCCCGCCTGATCCTTCGGCGACGCGCAGGAACAGCCCGACGCAAGAGCGATCTATCGCGCGCCGCTCCAGGGGACCGCGGGGGGGGGGAGGCGGAGGGGGCAACTCCAAGCGTGCAGGGCTGGCGCTGGGTCACTCTGGCGCGGCGTACAGCCATCGTGCTACCATGAGGACCCCGGGCCTCAGAAAGGAACGAAGCAGATTTTCTGGCCACGGCGAGCCTCCACCGCGAGGAGGAGGAGGAGGAGGAGCAGGAGGAGGAGGAGGGGGATGATGATGATGATGATGATGATGATGATGATGATGATTCATTCATTCATTCATCCCCCGTGTGAGCTCCCTGGCCAGCAGAAGGTCAAGGCAGTAGAACGCTGAAAAACCTGGAACTCGGGTCTGTGGGCATTTACCCTTCTCGGCCAAAAGAACAACTGTGTCTTAACTCACCACACGAGCAAGAGCACAATCAATGGATTCGGCACTCTATGGCACTGGCCCCCTGAGCACAGCCCCTCCTATAGGGCCAAGAAGCTCCAGGAGGGGAAAGGTACTCGAGGCCCTCGAAGACTGACTTCAAGGCGCAGCTCACGCCAGTGACTAGCCTAGATAGCCCGCAAAAACCGAAACTGCCCAGACTCCTAAAGCACTCGGACCACGGAAACCTCCCTGGGCTCAGAAGCGAGAGAGGTCTCAGGAGGAGGAGGAGGAGGAGAGGTCCGAGAAAAAAAGAAACCTGGAGTTTCTACACCGCCTGCGGAGCTCGCGCGAAAGCGCTCAGAAAGTGGCCTCTCTCGTCCTCGCGTCACCCCCTCTCGGCAGGCTGCGCCTGGTACTCCCCGAGGTTCACCAAGCTCTGAATGACCTTCCGCACGTTGGGGCCTTTGGGTGGACTGCCTGCTTTTTTGATACTGCCTGCAGCCCTCAAGATGCACGTCTGGATCTCGAGCGCCACTGCTCGAAGCTCGGGAGTCGTGAAGAGCTCGATGCGATACATGTCCTCCTGCCAGTTGGCCTGGCGGAAGGCCTTCTTCTGGTAACATACGATAACTTTGTCCTCGATGTCTCCCACACCTTTCACGGCTTGGGAGTGGGTCAGCACGCTCGCCTTCGCCTCCGCGGGGATCGTCGCGTCGTTCACGATCGACATGCACAGGCCGACCCACACGTGGAGATGCGCCCACTTGAGCTGTGCCAGCTGCTCTTGATTCCCTGCTTGCTTGTACTGCGTCTTCGCTTCCTCGTAGGTCACACCCGCTTCGCGCATGGCGATCAGCTGCGTGTGCGCACCCTTCGCAAGAGCCACGAGAGTAAGACATCCCGCAAACCGACGAGACATCAGGTCGAGCCCCACGACGGTCTTCGCCGTGTTCACCACCAGGGAGCGATACTCCTCGTCGAAGTTGCCTCCGACCGCGCGCCGCGCGGCTGCGCGACCGTCGCCGGCTGCCGGTTGCCCCGCGGCGCCCTGACCCAGGCGCCTCTGGAGCTGATCCATCTGGTAGATCGGCGAGGGCAGGTGCGACGGGGGCGTCACACTCAGGAAGAGTTTGAAAAACCTCACGATCAGCTCGAACCACAAAATGCTTACGAACGTGTTCGTGGAGTAGAGGGACACTGGAGGCCTCATATTCCCCAAAAGGGCACACGAGCGACGCTGGTTGCTGGAGCCCCACGAGACCTGCTGAAGCACTCCCCCCACGCTGTTTGGGACATTCATGGCGTTTAACACGGACTTCGACATGATGACGAAGCGAGTCGAGCGAACTGAACGTTCTGAGACACCAACTGCATTGATTTGAAAACGCTGCGATCCGATGCGGCACGAGGATTTGATGAGCTCGTCGTTTATGACACTGAAGGGCCCGTCGGGATTGAAATGCCTGGGCACAGACCGCGCCGTCGTCGAAAACGCCGTCACACGGAAAATCTCCGAAACTGCGATTTTGAAGAGCTGGTGGATTGTGTAACCTATCATGTTCATGCGGTCGTATATAGCATAGAAGATCACGATCGGGGCGAAGGAGTGATGCATTCTCTGGCAGAAAGAGAGCAAACCAACCTTTCTCCTGGAGCACCTCGCGCACGCGAGGCTGCACTCGACCCTGAACCTCAAGGTCATGACAGAATTCACGAAGATATGGATTACAACCGTGGCGTGGGCGACCTGATGAGGTAAGCTGGCCGCGATCCTCGCCGCCGAGAGCACCCGTCAGCGCTGCCAGCAAACAAAGGTTGTTCTGAGGCTCCTGGGCAATCTTCCAGAGCCATTGCAACCGTCTAAAACGCACAGTACTCTCCAAAGTAGGCAAACGAAGTTCTTCCCTAACTCGTTCATTAGTCCAGGTACGTACTCGTTCTACCCCTCCTCCCACCTCCTCGCGTTCACAACTAGCACCCTGGAGTAAAACTCGTAGATGGGATTGGTCAAAACGATCTAGCACATCAAAATCCTTGCGAGTCCAAAGCCGAGCCTCTCCCCCAGAAAGCATAGCCCCACGTACCATACTCTGATAAACCAAGCGTTTGATCCTCCTCCTAGCCTTGGAAGTCCAAAAACGTCCCAGAGCACACCACCCAATGCGAGCCGCCGTCAATCTCTGTTCTGTCTCATAGTAAGTCCACCCGTCTAGATTGTGCCAGCCCCCCAAGTGTCTAACCCATTGTTTAGCCGTACCCTTATACCTAATAGAGCCACGCTGATGGTAGAAGTCCTGCATCTGTTCAGCAGAGCCTCGACCATGGCATCGAAATAAAATCTCTTTCTTATCTCCATTCTGGTCAAGCTCGGTGGTGTCCGTGACCACCTGCTTGAGGCCATCATCCCAGGCCTGCATCTTGTCAGACGCCAGCTGTGCCTGAGAACCACCGTGCAAAAGCCCGATCCTAGTCATGTCGTCGGCAAAAGTGGTAAAAGAGACATTGACCGTTTCACCTGTGACGGGTTCACGAACTCGAAAAAACTGAAACTCCTCCTGCTCCTCCGTGATTTCGATCCAGGTCTGGATGCGGGGGTCGTACACACATGTAAAACGAGACGGAGCCGCAGCGTCGCCCTGGAGGTCCCCGCACCCCAGATCCAAGAGAGCCCACTCCCCACTGTTTGAACCGAGATATGTCATCGCTCGTCGATGTCGATGTTTAACGATGTGAGCCGAGTCGACGTCGAGCGCGGCATCGATCACACTGTCGAGGGCCTGGTGGGAGACGGAGGCGAAGGCGTTAGCCATGTCGTAGAACGGTTCAATCCAGCTACGACCGAGCTGGGAGAGGCGCCACTGCGTACAGCGCATCTGCAAAATAGACTGCTCCCGCCTACGTCCAGTCTTGAAACCCGTTGAGCTGTGATAATTGTGAACATTACGTCGAGCCCAAAGAGCACCGTGGTAAGACTTGCCTACAGGATCCAGGAGGTGGATGATCCGTTCCGCTTTGCATTTAGTTTTTCCATTTCCCTTGGGGATGGGGCAGGCTTCGCTCACATGCCAGATGGTTGGGGTCTCTCGGGTCCTTCGGATAGCCAGAAAAAACTGCAGAACCAGATTATGAAAGGGTCCCTCTCGAAGAAAACCTTGATCAACATCTCGGTGTCGAAAACCCATAAGCCAGACTTCCCTCGGAATCGACCAGGCGGGTACTTGCTTGCGTGCTTTAGATCTGTTAAGGCTCTTGACGGTGCCCCAGAGGTCCCTGTGCGCCTCGGCGTGTTGCTCCACTAACTGCTGCAGAACTTGCCAACTCACCCGGCCTGGCACGAGGTCCGTGCCCGAAGTTGAAGAGGCGGTGGCGTGCTGCTGTGCCAATTCCAAAAGAGAAGAACGGCGCGCATCAGCATCATGAGGTATATCGCGTACAACTCCTGCGACGTCCAGAGGCTGCTCAGCATGTCCCCGAAGAACAAGTGAGGCTGACATCCCACCTTCAGCGCCAGGAAGTTGCATATGTTCGATCCACTCTTGACAAGTAGGTGGTTGAGCAGAGATCAGTAAAAACTTACGCTTCTCGGGGCCCAACTGTGTCCCCGCCAGTTTCCGACTAAGACGCCATACATCTCGCCATCGGTGTTGGTCTTCAGCAGCTGCAAGTTCAGCGGCCCAGCCGTCTTGCGCCCGTCGAAAATCTCGTCGTCGTAATTTGCGTAGCCTTTTCAGCACTTGAACAAACTCTGCGGCAAGTTGATCATGCACGTCGGCATTCGGCGTCCTTCTCCGTTGCCACATAGTTGCTCGAATATCCTTATAACGTTGATGAGTAGCCTGAGTATCTTCAGCGACAGGAAAAGGACGATAGGTGTTAGCAGGCATCCCATATCTCTGGATAGCTACCTCGCGAAGGCCATGATGCAGAAGATGCCAAGCCTCATCCACCAAGCCACGAAGACAACACGTACGGATATTGTTTTGTGTCCAATCCTGTCGCGCCCAGTTCTCCAACTCTCCTTCAAATTGCATGCGGCCGTCTTGATTCTGGAGCCAGTCTGACATAATCTTATCCCGATCCCATGTCAAGGTATCTGCTGTGGGTGCCTCGTGCCACTGTCTGCAAAGAAAGTCCAGAACCAGCGGGCAATGATCAATATTCTTGCTTGCTGCACACGTGGATTTTGAAAGTTGTAGTTTGAAGCCGTCGCGATACCACGCCTTGATCTGCTGGACTCTGTGCATGGCCGTCCTGGGGAGAGCGATGTAGTCGATACGCGTCCGAGATTGCCCAGCTCCAAAGAAAGTAGGGCCAGCCCCTTCCAGAACATGAGTGTTGCAAAGAGCCAGATGATGTTGATTCAATAATGTACGCCATAGTGTACCCGATGGAGTTTCCACTGCAGGTGCTGCATGTCCAATAGCATCGCCCACGGGGGTGAGCTGCAGAGTGTTGCCGATCTTCACGTAGCCGCAATGGAAGTTCCCGTCGCACATCAATATCGGAGTACAGCGAGCAGGTAAACTATCCAGGACATCTGCAATCCAACGTAATAGCTTGGTCCGCCAGATGCGACCGACCTCGTCGTGAGGCTCGAGCATGAAGTACACACTGATGAGGCACAGGTCGTAGTGAGTGTTCCACTTATACCGAACAGCGCCGCCTCGACCCCGAAGTCCTGCAGGTGGTTGCCAGTTCTGAACCCGTCGACAGTTGGGGAAGATGGTGCGATCCACGGCGATCATGCAGCCTGCCGAGACGTTAGTGCCGTTGCGTCTGGCACGGCGTCTGCCCGTCGCCTTCAGTACCTCCGTCGGCCATTGCCAAACTTGCCACTTGCCAACTCGTTTCCCTGCAAAGTCCAACGATTGATCGAAAGCAATATGTTTTAAATTCTGACATGTCCCTGTGAGAGAGACCACCTGCGCCGTCGTGAAGTGGGAGAGCACGTCCGTGAGGTTGCGGCGTACTGGTAGCGCTTGGGGATTGTATTGAACGCAACGCAATCTCCATCCTTCAGCACTGGTGGCCTCAGGCGCGAGCGGCCAAGTCATCGAGCCTCGTCTTCGAGGCTAAGACATCATCATTCGAAGTGTTGGCCTGTATGGATGTCCCACCCGCCCTAGCAGGTAGAACGGGGCGCCGCGCTGCTAGAAAGGACTAAGCAAAACGGCAGCGCTATGATGATGATGATGATGATGATGATGATGATGATGATGATGATGATGATGATGATGAGGAGGAGGAGGAGGAGGAGGAGGAGGAGGAGGGAGGAGGAGGGCGAGAGGGGGAGGAGGAGGAGGAGGAGGAGGAGGAGGAGGAGGAGGGAGGAGGAGGAGGAGGAGGAGGAGGAGGAGGGCGAGAGGGGGGAGGAGGAGGAGGAGGAGGAGGAGGAGGAGGAGGAGGAGGAGGAGGAGGAGGAGGAGGAGGAGGAGGAGACTGGCCAACCAACCTAGACGCAAGGAGCGGCCAAACAGGAACAGAGCCCCTCCCGCACCCAAAATGGTCCTCGTTTTGCGGCGTCATGGCTGTGGCCTTAGGTCGGGCATGTCCTCCTACAGGCGGACTTTGGGCGAAAAACCAAACATGGTCAAACCATATACAAGAATTGCCCAAAAGAGTCAAAACATCATCCCAGGACTACTTCTTGCATAGTAGATTCGAATATTCCTCCTGTAGAAGGACATGCCCGACTTCACTGTAGCCATGTAGCCGAGTCCTCGCCTGGCATGGCTTCGGGTTGCGACCAGCCGGCCCTCCCAGGTATTCCCAGTTGGAGGAGGAGGAGGAGGAGAAGAGGAGGAGAAGAGGAGGAGGAGGAGGAGGAGGAAGAGGAGGAGGAGGAGGGGGAGGAGGAGGGGGAAGAGGAGGAGAAGGGGCCCCAGCTGGCCTCAGCAGGCCCCCCGAGCAGCCATGGGAGGACCCCAACCCTGGGGGGCGGAGCGCTCCGGGGGCGCCGCGGGAGGCGGCCGGCGCCCAGGGTGTCGAGACCGCCCCGGGCCACCCTCGGGGGAGTCCCAAGCCCGTGCGGTGACGGACCGCGTGGCGACCTCGGAACCCCCAGCGGCCTCACCGCGCGGGCCGTCACCGCATGGTCGTGGGCCCTCGGAGGCCAGGGTCGCCACGAGACGACCTCGGAGGGCCACCCGGGTCCCAAGACCGTGCGGTGACCCCGAATCCCCACGGACCCACCACGCGGTGCGGTCACCCCACGGTCTGTGGGCCCCCGATACGCGGGGGGGGGCTGCTGAGGTCAGCCTGGACTACCTGGGGGAGGGGCTGTCTGTGCGCAACCCGAAGGCTTACCATCCTCGCAAATCTCCCGCTGAGCCCACATCCCCCGGAGCGCTTCTTCAGCTTCTCGGGGTCCCAGCTCACGTACACCACCTCGCCGACCGCCTTGCCGCCACGTTGCGCGAGGGCTGGGTGGAGGCCGCCGTTGTCGTCGTCGTTGTGCTCGTCGTCGTTGCCCTCGTCATCGCCGTCGTCGCCGTCGTCGTCGTCGTGGAGATCGTCGTCGTGGTGATCGTGCTCGCCCTCACCCCTCGTGCAGCAAGACGGAGGAGAAAAAGACTGAGGAACAGAACGGGGAGGAGAGGAACGAGGAGAGGAGGAAAACGAGGAGGAGGAGGAGGCGTAGGATGAGGAGAAATGAGGAGGGCAAGACTGCAAGAGGAAGATGGACGGCAAAAGAAGCGAGGGATACGGAAGGGGGGGAAACGTAAAGGAAGACTATGAAGGAGAATGGGGACTCTTGAGTTCAAAAGTCAGGACGAAGCGGATGCACACACACACATTGCCTAACGCGGGGCCTAAATTGGTCACGAAAGCGAAGTGCTCACAAGAGGTCGCCTGCGGCACCGAAGCAGCAACACCAACCTCGACGGTGGCACGGGTAGAAAGTGCATGACACGACAAAGGCCCTCATACAAACATGCAGGGGGGAACTAGTTCGCGACGACGGTGGCGCTTGCCACCGAGGCCACACACCCAGTTCGGAGAGTCTGGGGCGAGCCCACATTTCGCCGTGTCACGAAATACCAGATAGAATCCAGCTATTTCAGCAGCGCTGGAGAAAACATCATCATCACCGAAAACACCATCATCATCATCATCATCATCATCATCATCATCATCATCATCATCATCATCATCATCATCATCATCATCATTATCATTATCATCGGGCTCGGATACAAGAATCCAGAGGGAACTACAGTTCGCGACCACGGTGGCGCCAAGACGGGCGGCAGTGGTGAGCACCAACTTGTCCGGCAACCCCCTCGGAACCCCAAAATCTGGCCGAGACCGGCGCGCTCCCCTCCAGAGTGCCGACTCAACCAGAGGATCTGGGCCATCACCCGTTTCCATCGCTTCCCACGGCTTCCCTTGCCTCTTTGTCCTATTACGGTGTGGTTCGTTGCCTTCCCCCTCTGCTTCGACTCTGCGGCGTTCCCACCACCCCTCCGGCAGCACCCCTGCCTCCCCCAAGAGACATCTGGCGGATGCTGTTTTACAGTCCATGGGCCCCAGAACTCTCGGCCCCGTTCACAGGGCAACTGTTTAATCCCAGGTCGATTTCTCATGGCCCCCGTGCTCGAAACATGCCCGCCACAGGCAAAACGACATCTCCAGATGATCTTCCTTCTCCGCCTTTTACGTCTGACAGACATAAGCACCGAGGCTGTTGCGAAATTCTGGTGGCTCAATCAGCAACGGTTCTGACTTAGCGAAGCGCGACACAAATTAAGCTGACGGCACGTGCAGCACAGGAAGTGCAAAACGTAAAGACTGCTAGAGCCGCCCTGGCGGGCTCGCCTTCCTCATCCGCCTCTTCCTCATCTTGCTGCGCCCCCTCCTCGTGGCGAACGCGATCGCACCAGAAATTCACATCGATCAACTCGGGGATGGACAGACCTCCCTTTAGTAAAACGTGGTTTAGTGAAAACGACCACGGGCCCAACCTGGCGGGCGCAAACCTGGAAAATAACGGCCGCGGCGCCCTCTCGAGAACCGAAAAAGGACAACTCACTAATAGACGTGTCAGGGTAGGAGGTCTGTCCACCCCCGATCAACGCTTGGAGTCGCCGATGGCCCCCGCCCTCCCTCCCCTGGCGCGCCAGGCGCGCCAGGGGCGCCGCCGCGGGGGCAGGCGCCCCCGTGGCCACGGCTGGATCCGCCTCGAACTTCTTGCCGAAGCGCCGTCGAGGACGCGTCGACGGATCGATCTTTGAGGAGGGAATCGGAATAGGAATAGGAATAGGAATAGGAATAGGAATAGCTGAATAGGGATTTAGAATAGGAATAGCTGAATCGGAATAGGAATATGAATAATAATAGGAATACGAATAAGGAATCGGGATAGGAATAGGAATAGGAATAGCGGAATGACGATGTCGTGTGAAGAGAACCATTGGGCCTGACTCGGCCCATCAGCATTGCAAAGGGGCTGGAGGAGGGGGGAGGGAGGCCGAGGAGGAGGAGGAGGAGGATGACGTGGCGTCGCCTGTCTTGCCGCTTGGTGTGTGGACCACCTTGTCAGGTTTCTGACCCACAGGCCAATAGAACCCTCTCGGGCTGGAGGAGAGGAGCGTCTGGCGCGCCTGCAGTGCAGGCTCGCCTCCTGCACTTCCCCCCTCCGCCCCTTCGCTGCCCCACCTGGCATCTCGCCATCCTCGTTCGGCCTGGGCTCCGACGCCTTCTGACCCTGACTAACCGACCGACCTGGGAGAACAACAAGCTATCAGTGCCGCAGCTCCCTGGACCTCCCTCTGGGCGCATGCTGACAAGGATTGCGCAGAGAATCTGGCCTTCATGCCGAGGGCTCTCCGAGACGAGCAGCAGCATGGACATCTTTTTCGTGGGAGCTGCTGGGCCCACACCACACCAAGTCTGATCAGCAGCATAGCACTTCCCTTTTTCGTACCTCGCCGTGGGATGTGAGGCTCCTCTTGAGAGCTGGCATCAGCAGGGCCCAGCGGGTCCACCTAGTCCCCAGTCTTCCTGGGGCCCAGGGGCACGAGGTCGTCTGGATGAGGGCTTTGAGGCTCGGGTTTGAGAAGCTGCAGGGAGTCCGTCGATCGTGTCTTCGTGAATTGCGGGCTGGGGCCATATGGCCAGCGGCGCGCAAGTTCCAGCACGGGTACGTGGCCAAGAGCAAGTGTGTTTTTGTTAGCACACACAGGGCACGCTTGGCCACCATGTTTACGAATGCGAAAGGCTCTGGGCCAAAAGTGAAAACCCAAATGCAAGCCCTCTGATGCCAACTGACTGTCACGAGCACCGTAATTGGCTAAAGGAGCAAGCGTATGGGATCCCTCCCGACTTCGACTCTCCTGAATTGGTGTATGGTTTGCCATCCCTCCCCGTCCAGATCCCGCCTGTGGCCGACAAAACGGTTGTTTTTCCTGGGGTGCCCAGTCTGCGCCCTGGGGATTCCGCCTTTACACTGACGGGAATGGCCTGGCGTCGGGAACCCCTGAGGCCACCAAGTGTGGCTGGTCCGTGGTCTCCCTGTCCCCTGGGGGCTGGCCCGTGAGGGCTGGCTACGGGGCCCTCGCGGGGCCTGTCCAGACGGTCCCGCGAGCGCGGAACGCCAGGCTATCCTCCATGCGTTGCAAGTTGGGCCGTGGGGCCCCGAAGTTGTTTCGGACCGTTTGTCTGCGGTGCGGGAAGGCGAGTACTGGGACCAAAGTTTGGCCGCGGGCTCGGCTAAGCACGACTCCATTTGGCGCCAATGTTTTGAACTGTATCGGGACAAGCCTGAGAGGCCTACCTTCCGCTGGACCCCTGCCCACCGCGATGTTGTCCAGGTCTTTGAGGACCAGGCGCTTTGCGGTAAGTCTCTGGGCCTAAGTGTCGCCGATTGCATCGGCAACGCGTGGGCCGATGTCTTTGCCAGACTGGGGGCAGCCGAGCACGAGCTCCCCAAAGTTCGGACGACGCAGCTCCGAGAGCCGCTCAAAGTGTGTTACCGCACCCGAGATTTCTTGTCGAGGGCTGCGCAGCACGCAGCCGCCTCTGCCCCGGAGGTGCCGATCCCGCCCAGGGCACGAGCCGATGTTGTGCCCCAGCTCGCTCTGCTGGAGGAGGGGAAGGAGGAGGAGGAGGTGGAGGAGGAGGAGGAGGTGGAGGAGGGGAAGGAGGAGGAGGAGGAGGAGGAGGAGGAGGAGGAGGAGGAGGAGGAGGAGGAGGAGGGGAAGGAGGAGGAGGAGGAGGAGGAGGCGGTGGATGGAGTGTCGGGGGGTGCTCGCTGCACGTGGTGCCGCTGCTCTGCGCGCACGCCTCTGAGCAGGCAGAAGCGGGAGCAGCCTGGCGCGAGCTGCACGCTGACCGCCCTCCACTTCTTGGAGGGGCTCTGGGACACGCAGCTAAATAAACACAACTAACAGGATTCACCACATTTTCCAATATGTTCTGGGTTTTCGTCGTCCCCCCAACTTCCCATGTTTTCCCATATTTTCTGGGGTGTCGACGATTCATTGTGTCTGTGTGCTTTTTCCCCCTCCTGAGTGGAGCCCCCCGCGGCCTTCATGTTCAACGGGCACATCGTGCAGCCTGCTGGCCGCTACCCTGTTTGCCGCCGACGTGCAGCGCACTGCCAGATCGAGGCCCTGGTCTGGCGCAAGCTGCCCACCGCGTGTGAATGGGGAGGCTTCTGCGGGCCAGGCTCGTTTCAGGTACGAGGTCTTCGCTGGACGCGAGCCGCGGCCACCACCTTGTATAGGGTAATTAGGCTCGGCGCTCTGCGTCGGGCCTGCTCTAGCCGAGGTGGCGGCGCGGCTCGCGCGCACCCGTGTGCGCTTTTATAAGGGCGGCGCTGGCCATCCAGCGCTGCCCTGAGGCACGGCCTCCTTTGTCTCAGCCGCTTGGGTACGTCTCCACGGATGCTAGACCTGGATTGCTCCGTATCCCACGACCGAGGAAGACAACTAACGGCAAGATCGTTCCCCCAGGAGCCCAAAAAAGAAGCCTCCCATATGGTGTCCGAGTTGATGGGGTCGGAGCATCGCGCCGCCTCGTCGATGTATCACCGATACATCGGCGATGCATCAGGGGTGCATCGGCGACGTCGGCGATGCCTCCGCGACGTCGGCATGGAGAAAATTGGGGCTCCACACCATCGCCGACGCATCGGCGATGCGGCGCCATCCTCCGACCCCATCTTCTCGGACCCCGTCTGGGAGGCCTAGAGCTATGCGGCGGAGCAAGGGCTCCCGAGCAAGCCCCGGTCCAGGACAGCAAAAGGGGGAGGCCCGGCCAGCCCCTCCTGCTGGCAGCGGAGCCGGGCGGTGGAGCAAGGGGCGGCTGGCGGCAGGACGAGCTGGTGCTGTCCCTCCTCCTCCGCCCTCGTCGTCGTCCTCCTCCTCCTCCTCCTCCTCCTCCTCCTCCTCCTCCTCCTCCTCCTCCTCCCTCGTCGAAGGCAGGAGCGCCAGCGATGACGGAAGTAAGGACGACGACGGCGGCGAGGGCGACGACGATGACGACGACGGCGGCAACGACGACGACGACGACGGCAGCGACCATTCCTGGACACCATCCTCACAGCGTTGCCGGGCTGCATCGAGTCGTGCCGACGAGCCCCCCAGGGACACGCAGGAAGACATGACAGCATCAACGGCGATTGAAGGCGAATCCCAGAGGTCGTGGAGCCGGCATGAGCTGGTCTCGCCGGCGCTGGTTTCGCTGGCGCTAGTTTCGCCCCGCTGGTTTCGCCGACGGCTGGTTTCGCCAGCGCTGGTTTCGCCGGCGCTGGTTTCGCCCCGCTTGTTTCGCCCCGCTGGTTTCGCCGGCGGATTTTTTCGCCGGCGCTGGTTTCGCCGGCGCTGGTTTCGCCGACGCCGTCGTCGCCGCGGCCGGGCGGACCCTATAGCGGGCAAGTCGGGTCGGGTCGGGCGGGCGGACCCTGACGGGCGGGTCTGGGTCGGGCGGGCGGGACATTAAAGTGTGGGACGCGCTCGACCAAGCACAAGCGAACCCTAACGGGGCGGACCTTAGCGGGTGGGTCGGGTCAGGGCGGGCGGGCGGACCCTGACGGGCGGGTCGGGTCCGAGGCGGGCGGGCGGGACATTAAAGTGCGGTGCGCGCTCGATCGAGCACGGGCAAATCCAAATGGCCGATTCGGGTCGGGCGGGCGGACCCTAGCGGGCGGGTCGGGTCAGGGCGGGCGGGTGGACCCTAACGGGCGGGTCGGGCGGGGCGGGCGGGACATGAAAGTGTGGGGCGCGCTCGACCGAGCACGCGCGAACCCTAACGAGCGGGTCGGGGGTCGGGCTAGCGGACCCTAGTGGGCGGGTCGGGTCGGGTCGGGCGGACCCAAACGGGCGGGTCGGGTCGGGCGAGCGGACCCTGGCGGGCGGGTCGGGTCGGATCGGGCGGGCGAAACCTAACGGGCGGTTCGGGTCGGGTCGGGCGGGCGGGACATCAAAGTGTGGGGCGCGCTCGACCGAGCACGCGCGAACCCTAACGGGCGGGTCGGGTCGGCATGGCGGACCCTAGCAGGCGGGTCGGGTCGGGCAGTTTCGCCGACGGCAGCTGATTTTGCCGACGCCAGCTGGTTTCGCCGACGGAGCTGGTTTCGCCGACGGAGCTGGTTTCGACGGGCGGCGAAACCAGCCGGACAAAACCAGCCGGGCGAAACCAACCGGGCGAAACCAGCCGTCGGCGAAAAAAAGCGGTCGCCGAGGGCCACCGAAGCCTTCAAAGATCGCCCCCATCCCCCGGTCAAAGAGCGACGACGACGGTGATGACGACGACGACGAGAAGGCCGACAAGGACGACGAATGAAAACGGCGACGACAGCAGCGAGCCCAGCCTCAACAACCTCCGGCCACCTCCTGCTCACTCCTGGCCCTCCTCCTCCTCCTCCTGCCTCCTCCCCCTCCTCCGCCACCTCCTCCTCCTCCTCCAACTCCTCCTCTCCTCCTCCTCTGCCCTGCTCCTCCTCCCCACCCCCCTCCTCTCTCTTCCTCCCCCTCTCTCCTCCTCCTCCTCCTCCTCCTCCTCGCGTCCTCCTCCTCCTCCTCCTCCTCCTCCTCCTCCTCCTCCCCCTCCCTTCTCCCCCTCCCCCTTCCCCTCCCCTCCTCCTGGATCTGAGCGTCCGGCGGGAGCGCCCTGACGCCGGTGGGCGGGCCCGCGGGGCACGCGCGGCGCCCAAGCGGCGGCGGCGACAGTACGTGAGGCAGATTCCGTCGGGGCTGCCGGAGGAGGACGCCAAAGAGTTGGGCGTCGCTTAACCCAGACCTCCTCGCGTCGTGAAAAAATCACGACGGGAGGATTTTCCTAATTTTCGGCCTCTGGGGGCCCTCGCCGGGCCTCGGGAGCGTCAAAAAGCGACTCAGGATGCAAAGCCGGTCCCGGGGAAAGGGTCGGGACCACTGGAGGTCGACGTAATGAAAAAATCATTACGTCGGGGGTCTGGGAATGCGGGATGACGTTTCATAAAACAATGGGAAAGAACGATTCAAAACGTAGTTTTCTACTATTTCTGCACAATTTTCGGACTGGAAGAGAACGATTCAAAAAATAGTTTTTTCCAACCCGCGGCCGGTTTTCTCTAATCGTTATCCCGGGCGCCGCCGCGTGAACACGACCCCCGGTCATTTATTAATCGGCATCCTCCATTAATGAGGGAGCGATCACTGAGGAGGGGAAACAGGTGCACTTCTCGAACC